CAGTTTTGAAGCCATGAAAAGCAGTCAAACCACAAGTGATGACCATTTCAGGAAAGGTATGGCCGGCGACTGGAGGGCTGTTATGAGTAGAGATGAAAGCGATTTGATTGACCAGAGAGTTAGGGAAGAGTTCGTGGGAACGGGTTTAGAGTCACTTTGGGAACGGGAACTCAAATGGCATGACTCAACCAAGTAGTCAATTCATTTGTTATGCACTTATTTTTATTAAATCTAAATTCAAGTTTATACATTGTAAATTAAATATTAAATTTTCTAATTAAATAACATTTAATTCAGTTGTGTTTAAATTAAAATAATTTTTTCCAAAATATAAGTCCCTATACACTGTATAGTATACAGTATTATAAGGGATAATGAAGGGATCATCAAGGTTGATCTTTACAAAGGTCATGGCTTAGGTTGAATATAAAGGTCAGGATCAGGTCAAATTGTTTAATAAGTTTCATAGCATTAATAAGGTTAGTTCGTAAAAGGCAAGTTGATAATAATGCCCAGATTAAACATTAAGATAGATATTACTGTAGATAGTGTAGTATAAAAAGTGTTTCAATTGTTTTACGAACATTAGTTTTGCAACTAATGTGAAATCATAAAATGATAAGCAAAATTTATATCCTGTTCAGATTAAAATGAAAGATTTAAAAATGACAAATAATTAAATTTCATGATTTGACGTGTAATGATACAGGTGCGTGATCATAGAAATTCCTCATAAAACTAACTGTCATCCAGGTTTATAAAAATCACAATCTATTTATAACTTTTAACTATAGTCTCATAACTATTAGACACTTATATAGAAATTATTTTATATTGAAAACTACATCCAAAAATGGCTGTCCGTTCAAAACAGTTACTACAGACCGTGAGGGGACAGGTATTTCCCAAAGGTTTAAAGCTGGAAAACATTGAATACGCGATGGACTACGAGCCCAAGGGGTGTGACCACATATTGCTAACGTACCCCAAATGTGGCACATACTGGACCTCATCGATCGTGCAAACAATTTTGAACCAAGGTAATTCCATTGTATCAGCTAATCGTGGTCTACGAATTGAATACCACGGCCCCAGTGCAGTGGAATTAGGCGCCACAATGGACAGGGATGTGGTCTACTTCCAGACCCACCATAACTTCACAAACTTTGCGTACAATCCATTGGCCAAGTATTTAATGGTTGTCCGCAATCCGAAGGATGTCTGTGTGTCGAGCTATTACTACTTCCAGAAACGGGAGGGTAACACCCAGGCCACTTTGGACAGGTATGTCAAGTATTTTCTCAGAGGAAAGGAGTGCGGTTTTGGCGACTATTTCGAGGCCATGCGCTCGTATTGGGAGCACCGGTTGGATGGGAACTGTACTCTCGTTACCTATGAGGAGATGGTAGCGAATCCGAGGGACAGTATTGTGAGAATCGCCTCATTCTTGGGCACCAAATACGTGCACCGACTGTACGACCGGTGCGATGGACAGGGATCTACTGATGAGATACTATTGGATCGCGTGTTACGAGTGACCAGTTTTGAGGCCATGAAAGGCACGAATACGGAGAAAGCCTATCACTTCAGGAAAGGCGTGTCCGGCGACTGGAGGGCTCTTATGTCGAGGGATGCGAGCGATTTGATTGACCAGAGAGTTAGGGACGAGTGGTTGGGAACGGGTTTAGACGTGTTGTGGGAACGGGATATGAAATGGTGAACACCAGA